GTGTGTGTGTGTGTGTGTGTGTCAGTATCATCTACCCTCAGAACAGGCGAGGGGAACCTGAGTATAACCCCTGTGGGAAGTACATGGTCAAGCTCCACATCAATGGAGTTCCCAGGAAGGTAAAACAGTCAGAAGACCAAGAGGACACATGACACAGACAGACTCATGTATGCACAACCTTAGATGGAAACTTCTTTCTGTACTCTGACTTTGAGCCCAAGGTCTGTGGTAAAGGGAACTCTTCCTCACAGAGGCCCTGAAACACCTGAAATATCTTTTTAACCATCACCGAAACTCATCGGTACAATGTCCCTCAAATCAACAACCCGTCTCTGTCCCCGTTGCAGGTGATAATAGACGACTTCCTGCCGGTGGATCGTAACGGAGAGATGCTGTGCTCCTACTCCAGTAACAGGAACGAGCTCTGGGTGTCCTTGATAGAGAAAGCCTACATGAAGGTGATGGGAGGCTACGACTTCCCGGGCTCCAACTCGGTGAGTGAAGACAGAGGAGCCAGGAGGTGCAGCTCCTTTTAAACCACTTGTTTCACCTGCTGCGGTGAAACTGCTCAGCCCAACACTGTCCTCAAAGACGGGATAAGATCAGATGTTTTATATTTGTCGTGTGTTGCAGAACATCGACTTGCACGCGCTCACTGGCTGGATCCCCGAACGCATCGCTATGCACTCTGACAATCAGTCGTTTAGCAAGGACGACACCTTCCGCATGCTCTTCCAGAGGTGAACACACACAGAGTGTTTTTTTACTCTTTGTCTTTGAGTTGAAAATGAAAAGCTCCTGGTTACCATGTTCTCCCTCTGTGTCTGCTTCTCTCCCTTCATCTTCAGGTTTCACAGGGGGGACGTCCTCGTCACCACGGCAACAGGGGTGATGACAGAGGAGGAAGGGGAAAAATGGGGTTTAGTCCCTACGCATGCCTACGCTGTTCTCGACATCAGGGAACACAAGGTGGGAACCCTTAAAGTAGCATTAGCATGTTATTATTAACACTTTTATTAATCAACTTCCTGATAAACACTTCCATCATCATCATCCCTCCAGCTCCTCTTACCTTCTGTAGTTGACAGCATGTCTGCGGGTTCGTTGTTCTTGCAGGGGATGCGTTTCCTGCAGCTGAAGAATCCGTGGAGTCATCTGCGGTGGAAGGGACGCTACAGTGAGCGGGATGAAAAGAACTGGACGCCTGATCTCCTCAAATATCTCAACTTTGACCCCAAGACAGCTCAGAAGTTTGATAATGGTACACCCATTCTTTTTCTTTCTTGAAATTAGTAGATTAAAATAGTTTTTGTTTAATACCAGATGTTTGAAACCAGATGTTTGAAACCAAGCCTTGAACAGGGTCAGTGTGTCATAATAAAATAGGGTAAATATGTGCTTGAGGTTTAAGACACAGACTAAAACAACATATGTCCAAAATATTTCCTGCTTATTGATGTCCCACGTGTTTCTCTGTGCTGTGTTGCTCTCCAGGGGTTTTCTGGATCGCATGGGAGGACCTTTGTCAATACTATGATGTCATCTACCTGAGCTGGAACCCTGCACTCTTCAAAGACTCCTCCTGTATTCACAGGTGTGTGTTGATTGTAAAAGTCTTGTACGTGAGGTGTCCAACAGTTTGACTGTTGCGGAGAGCACAGTCTCACTCTGATGTGGTTTGCGTATCGTCTGCAGTAGCTGGGATGGGCGGCAGGGCCCAGTGAAAGACGTCTACAGTCTGGCCAACAATCCCCAGTTCAAGCTGGAGGTCCAGTGTCCAGCAGGGGGAGCTGCTGTGTGGGTGCTGCTCACCAGACACATCACAGACAAGGTAAAGACACAGAGCTGGGAGACGCTGACGAGTCACGTGAAGATGTATTCACCAATAATGTGGTGACCTGATATTGTGATGCTTGACTTTTTATCTGTGTGTTTGTTCTTCCAGGATGATTTTGCTCAAAACAGGGAGTTTATCACTCTGGTCGTTTACAAGACGGATGGGAAGAAGGTTTACTACCCAGGTAACGTTTGTCAGACGCCTTAGAGGAGAGCTTCCCTCTGGGGCAGTGAAATAATAAGCTCTTTTACAGTAGATGTGTGGTAGCAGGGTAGTGAAGGCAGCACTTTGTCACATTTAGTTCTTCCTCACACTCTCACACGACAACAATGTCACATTATTCCATCACAACACTCGACTTTTCTGATGTGACACAAAGATAACAGCAGACTTTTAAAAAGAAATATTTCAGCTCACAGACGAAGATAAGACAACGAACACTTCAGCAGCGTCTTCTGTTTACTCTCTCAACAGCGGACCCCCCTCCTTTCATCGATGGCATCCGCATCAACAGCCCCCACTACCTGACCAAGATCAGGCTGACCAGCCCCGGGACACACACCTTCACTCTGGTGGTCTCACAATACGAGAAACAGAACACCATCAACTACACTTTAAGAGTGAGAAAGAACTTCTATGTTCCAAACGTGTGTGTGTGTGTTTGTGTGTGTCATCAAAGTATAACTCATATTGTTTGGACATAAATCATAAGTGACATTAGGGGTTATTCTTCCTTATGGGGAAAAAAACTAAATCCCCACAATAAATAAAGCCAATCATTCAATTTCATGGTAACGTTTTACGGTTATATTTAGGGAATCAATGTTCATGGAATACAATACAACTGTGTGTGTGTGTGTGTGTGTGTGTGTGTGTGTGTGTGTGTG